GAGGCTTCTCTGCAGGAGCAAATCTTTATTGGCATCTATTCAAAATGAGTTGCCACTAGAAAAAGAAATGGGAATCAGAGCCATTTCTTTCATCCAGAATTTAAGTAAGCCTTCAACACTTGGAAATTTGTCTTCCTAGGATTTTTTTTTCTTCTGTTCTTTCTTGAGCTCCATCTGTCATGAGTTTTAAAACTGTAAGGGACCTTTGGGATAATGAGTGAGACCACCTATGTTCCACACAGTTTTCTGGAATTAATTTCTCAAGTCGCTCAAGGCTTTTGTAGACTTAGTGTCTTTTGGCTTTTTTGTTCATCTTGGGGGGTTTCGTTATTGTTGGGTTTTTTACTTTTCAGTTTGTTTAGCATGGTTAATTAGAAGATGTGTCAAAGCCCTTGGTGAGAGTTGCAGTGGTTAGACACCTTGTCTGTTCAGAAATAGGTTTTGCATAGCAAAGCAGCAGCCGCACAAGCTTAGAATTCAAATAACGTGTAACTTCATAATTTTCTCTTTTGACACCTATTTAGGGATCGGAGAAGAGCCTGACTAATTGTTTTGACTACTGAGGAATTAGTGTTCCAGCCTCATCTCATGTAGCTCCTGGGGAACACCCTCTAAGAGGAAGAGCCTTGAGCATAAAACCTTTCAACACAGTTGGATTTATGTTGCATCTATTATGTCCCTGGTCTTTTTGGGTGTGCTTTCCTTGCTTTAGCTTGATTCAGAGTTACTTTAAATGAGAGGTCTGTAATGACATGACCTTTGTGTTTTCTTTTTTTCTGGGAGTGGCCTTCCATCGGTCCAGGGGCAACAAGTTTAATTTGGAGGTTTCTTGCACTTGTGGGACTGGGCTTGTTTCAGCAGATTTCTCAGGGTGGTGTCAGTTTACTCCTCAAAGGCTTCTGAAAGGCATCAGATATTGTCTAGGTTCCGCTCAGTTGTCCTCCAGTGTTACCTTAATTTTAAAAACTGACCTAATTTCTGCTCGATCACTTTGTTTCCTCATGGGATCTAATATCTGTGGTCTCTGACTCGTTTCTGTTTGAGTAGCATAGGCACCTCTGCCTTGTGCAAACTAGCACTCACCTTCCGACATGTCCAAAGGTTTGACCTCTCCTCGTGCTTAGTTCAATAAATACCCTGCTTTTTTAAATGTTTGTGGGAATTGTCTGATTCCAGTGGTGATCACATTTCCTTCTGATCTCTTTAGTGGGGATGACTGGAGAAGGTAAGTCCCACCTTGATCACCTATATATAAATAGCTGAGTCTTGAAATTAATTTCCGGTGGCTGATCTGTGTGGTTGGTGAGTGGAGGAATCAGCTGAATAGATCTGGGGAACTTGTTGATCTCAGTGAAACGATAAAAGAATTTCATCTTCTTTTTCATTTAAATGTGAATGAGCTGTTGGTACAGATGTCACTCAAGAATCTCTTTGTTATTTTAATGAACCTGCATTAAACCATGCAGGAAATTACAAGGCATGTGTAATTTAACTACTATGTGTGAATTTACAGCAGTAGAAATTCATAGCTCTCATCTAATAATGGAATTAAGTAGTAGTGGAGGTATGAAGGTAGAAGTGCATCTTGGAGACTTTCATACCTGTTGTATTTTTTTTTCCCCACTTTTTGGGAGCACCTGCTTTAAGCACAGGTTTCCCACCCTCTTCCTGTCTCCTCTAGAACACGTTTTACAATCTTCTTACATGACTTGTATTTATTAACTCATGTTCTAGCATCCAGCCAGCTCTGTCTAGGCTTACCATGGTTGTCAGATCATCTTCTGGTCCTGCTTCAGGCAGCTTCATCTTTATCTCCTTGCTAGTAGAATTGAAAAAAATGAACAAATAAGTAAGAAAAAAATCCTGCTTTGTACTTCTTCTGCTTTTGTGACAAAGAGAGTCTGCTTATGGCTTGCTGTGGCAGGTTTGTTCTGAGAGAATTTATTTTGGAGGTGGGGATGCATCTGAGAGGGTGTGTCATGTGACATCTGATGCCAGATGAAATGTTGAGCCAGGCAAGTGCCAGTTCAGAAAGTACTGTAATAAAAATGCATGTCCCTCCCCTTACAGCATGCAGATGATTAATAAGAAACAGTACGGTTTGTCTTGCTCCCTAGAAGTTTTAAGCACTGTCCTTGACTGTGTTCACGCAGTGATGGCTGAAAGTACCTGTGGAAGGGGAAATACTCTTCCACTTAGGAAGCTTGAACGGTGGGTCTGGGATTTTATTTTGGAACTGGAGATGACTTTTTACTTATATTGTTAGCTGTAGATAATGATGCTCTGTTTTGCTTTCCAGGCTGCCAGGAGAGTGATCTTGCTCTCGGGAACCCCGGCCATGTCGCGGCCAGCGGAGCTCTACACGCAGATCATGGCGGTGCAGCCAACCTTCTTCCCACAGTTCCACTCCTTTGGGCTGCGCTACTGTGATGCCAGGAAGGTACTTAAGTGGGAAGAGTGGCAGACTGGGACTCTGTAACAGCATTATATTTTTTTCAAAATGTGGAGGCTTTTTCTCTTCTTCCTTTTGTTTTTTTTTTGAGAAAGTCTTGCTGTAGAGTAACATTTTGAAAGCTTTTAAACTGGGAAGTTTTAGGTGCTGCAGTGGTGGGTGGAGACATGGAGGCAGTAATGCTTCTTGTCAAAATCTGCCCTGAAAGCCACAGAAGTAGAAAGCTGGGGGGGGCACAGAAATGACCATAACTGGTGAAAGGAGCCTTTTCTGATAAGATCTTGTCCCCAGAGTGTTTTAAATTGGCAGAGTAACTATGGGGCCCTTATGTAGCTTCAGGTTTGGTCTAATTGATTTTAAAAATCCAACATCCAAACAAGATAACAGTTCCTAGTCTGCTTTAGTTGCTGTTTTACAAAGGCCTCTGTTGCTTGGGATTTTGGATTTCATACCTACAGGTAAGTAAAAAATGAAGACTTAAGTCCATCTTCGTATTCCACCCCCTAATTCAGAAAATGGATGTGATCCTCAGTGTATCTTGAAAATAACTTCTCTGCCAGCTGCTCAGCAGTAGTTTCACCAGAGTCATTGAGTCCAGCCACTGCAAGATCTTGGCCTTGCAGGAAGCCAGGATTTGCATCCATGATGGCAAGTGTCTGCCTTGCTCCCAATGTATGGGCAACTCAGCTCTGCTTGATTTGCCATCTCTAGGGCTGCTGTGTGTGTTGGAAATACACTGCTAATAGAAGAGCTTGTGCTGCTGCTTATTGTACAAGGAGGCTATAGGATCTTCTGTGCTGGTTGCACAAACACAAAAGGGGAAACCAAAGCCCCTCTGAGTTCTGATTTGGAGCAAGAGCTCTTTAATCTGTCTTGCCCTTCAGTTCTTCCAAGAAAAGCATGTAGCAGTTAGTACATGGCACAGAATGGTTTGGCAGTGTGAGCTTGGACCTGTAGCACATAAACCTGCGCACTCTGTTCTCGCGTAATCCATGTCACTTTGTGTGCCTTTTTTCTGTAAGACTAGGAAATAACTTTCAGCGGAGTGTTTGGAAACACCAAATGACTGTTTCAGTGTTCAAAAATATTTACTGAAGAGCTGAACATCATCAATGTGCACCATAAAATAGTTACAGCTATTTGTAGGGCTTTTGTATTTGTTTTCTTTTCTGTTTGGGTAGCTAACATATACAAAGCTTCCAGCAAGAAGATTCTTATTCCAGTCTCACATAAAATTCCTCAGTCTCCTTTTTCCTGGATCTGAATGCCCACTTTTGCTTTCATAGCCAGTGCAGTGCTGTTCTATGTATTGCCCAAATGTGCAAGCTAGAGGAGCAATTCATTGGCTTTGGTACTCATGCTGATGCCATTGATTAGAGGTGAGGCCTTTAGCATGCAGATACAGAGCTTGAGTTCTGGAAGATGATAGTATTCATGTTAGCAGAGCGCTGCTTTCCTGGCAGAGGGTAGACTTTCTCTTGCTTCATCCATAGTAGGTATCATATGGAGGGAGAGGGCCACGTCTTCTGCTGAGCTACCTTATCTTTGCTGAAAGATTCTTGCCTGAGTAGTTTTCGGAATGCTTCCTAGAGGGAAATGAAGAGATACAGTTTAATCTTGGTGGTTTTTCTGCAGTAAAAAGGGAAGCCAAATTGCAGCATGTGAGTCGAAATCAGTTTGGAGTTTCATAAACCCTTTAACGCTGAAGTTCTGCACAACTAGCTGTTGTGTTAATTGAGGCATGTGGACCTCAGGTAAGATGTTGAATTGGAGAAAAGAAATAAAATTGTTTTACACGATCCAGGTTGTAACAGTGTAGTCAGTGTAAATGACTTTTCAACCTGCAGTGAAGCTCAGCATGGAGGTCACAATCTGTATCAGCTTCCCTGCAAAACCTCTGTAGGGCTTCTGGTCCAATTTTGTTTCTCTGTTTGACCTGTCTCTGCTTGACAGTTGAACCTTGCTGGTCTTCTCAGTGCTTGCTTGGGACAGTTTGCTGCAGTTAATGTTAGTAATTTATAGAGTGAACCTATAAAGAATTTGGTTATTTGGAGAAGTGGGGCTGCTGGAAATGAAGACATATGGATAGTATTAGAGGAAAAAATGGGACTGCTGAATATTGGGTTGCCATAGATCCATTCAGCAATGAATAAATTTAAGAGGTGCTTTGATGATTGTAGTTGTTCCCTCATGACTGTAGAGTGTCCCTCGTGTTCCTTTTTGCAGCTCTAACCTGTTAGGAGTTACATCCTCTGTGAAGAACTGTTGAGGTACTCTGCTGTCATTACTTAAGTAGGTTCTTCTTTCTGTCCTGAAAGCAGCAGCAGCATTATGAGTGGGGATGGAATTGCACAGAACCAGAGAGGTTTTGCCAGGTGTTTGAAGATCTGTCAGGATGAAAGGTGCTATGTAAAAGTGTTTTCGTATTGATAATAAATCTGATTGCATTATAAGATTAAAGAAAAATTGACAAACCTGAACCATCCAATTTAAAACTAAAGCCTGACTAGTTTCTGTTTCAAGATTATAGATTTTATGACAGGAGATTGCAAATATGTGGCAGATCTGATTAGAAAAGATATAAAATAAAAGTTGATAATTTTGTAATTCAACCTTCCAGCATCTGTACTCTCAAAAATGCAGCAAGTAAATGTCACCTGTTATTTACAAATATCTCGAGTCTGTTGGCCAAAATACATGCTGTGTATTCATTTTTCAAACTGGGTGATGTTAGCAAATATTAAATAATTTCTATCTGAGCACATGCTCTGAATTTGTAAGAGTTTGGCAGCTTCTGCTAACACTGTAATAAGTTTACTGACTCATGTAAGATGCTGTAACACTTTGGTAAGAAAATCACAGTTGGAACCATTTGTTCTGGAATGTTATGGATCAAAGCCAGATGTGTGTTTTGGCAAAACAAATGTCCCTCTTTTTTTCTCTCTTTTCTTTTCCAAAATAGGATATGCTAAACCAGTTTTAATAGTTCCAAAAATAATCATCTTTTTGTCACTAGCTAGGTGCAGCACAGAACTAGCATGTTTCTTTGTTTGCAAATTGCACCATAAAAGTAATTTGTAATCTGAATATAGTGTGGAGACTCTGCCAGTGTGTGCTTTTTAATATGACAGTAGATAGTATATTTGCTTTCTGTGCACCTTGTTCTTTCTGTTACGATGATATTACTCTTCTGAAACGAATTGGGATACATGGACACAAAGCATATGTATTCTTTGTTTGTTATGGAAGTGGAAAGTGATAAAACATGGGCTGCATAAGTAGAACAAGGTAGCCTGAGGAGTGTCCAGGCCCCATAGCAGGTCTTGCTCAGCAGCATAATCAGTGTTGAACCCTATCACTTAGCTATGAGTGCACAGAGCAGTGTGGGCAGTGGGCTTAGGAGTCTGGGCACAGCACCAGGTGAGTCCTCCTTGGTTCTGTACATCTGCTCTGCTGGGCCCACAGAGCCTGAAGAAATGCAGAAAGGGAGCACAGACTGTGGCTCAGCAGTGTCAGCTTTCAAGCAGAGTGCCTAAAGCTAATAAATATAGCTAGACTTGAGCTGGCTTTTCACAGACCTGAGGGATGTATCTGTGTTGCAGTCCTGGTTTCAGAGAAGCAGAGCAGTGATACCCATGTTGGCTTTTTGAGGGGTTGTCTTAGATCCAGGTGGGCTTGTATACCACTGTGTTGTTGTCAGAGCTAAAGTTTTAATACTAGAGGACTCAAACTGACTTTGTGTCTAAGGTTTGAATTGTTTCCTGTTTTAATGAACCAACTGTAGCTAATCAGATGGCACTATAATTATGTAGGAATAGATTAAGTCAAATGAGTTTAATGGTGGCCATAAGTGCCAGAATCTGAAGTCAGTTAATGGTTCACATCAGTACAATGTGGCAATAGAATTGCAGATTGTTCTGTTTTATCCCAGCCTGAAGTAGGAATGTTTACTTCCAGATATCAGAGGTCTTACTTGCCTTTAAGCTGTTTGATTCCTCCTCTTTCTGTCCCATAGCATGTTCTCACCACTGTTGAAGTGATGACGCTTTGAAGAGACAATGTTTGGAGTGATGTATTTTGGGCCACAGTTTATTTATGGGTTGCTTGAGTCTAAGGCAAACATGGTAATGGCAGAAATAGAGTATGTGAGGAAGTGGACCAAGAGTCAGGTCATGTCAGACAAGTGTAACAACTCTGTGAAGGCATGTGGGTTAAAGCTGTTTGTCCTCATACTGTTAGAGAAGATTGTGTATCTCTGTGCTTAAAACTGAGGTAAATGTGCATGCACAGAACTGCAGTGAGTTCTTTTGACCTGCTCAAAGCTGCAAGCGGAGAGCAACAACCAATACCAGGGTGCAGTGCTGGGACAGGGAAATCTGCCACCTTTCTGCACTGATCTCTTCCCTGTACCTCCCTGAGCACTTGTAGATAGGAAAAAGGGAAGTTTGTAAGTAACCTTTTCTCATTGGGTGATTAGTTTGCATATTTCTACCTTATTGCCATTTTTGTCAAATCTCTTTTCCTACTGACCATTAAGTTCTTGCCTTCTCCAGTTTCTCTGGAAATTTATTCTACTTTTGGATCACCTACAAGCGACTAGTCTGCAGGTTTGACACTGACAACTGGCTTGATCTTTCCCAGATGCCATGGGGTTGGGACTACTCTGGATCATCCAACTTAACTGAACTGAAAATTTTGCTGGAAGAGTCCATCATGATCCGACGTCTGAAATCAGATGTACTTTCCCAGCTTCCAGCAAAGCAACGCAAAATGGTTGTGGTGGCTCCTGAAGGCATTAGTGCAAAGACCAAAGCTGCCTTGGCAGCTGAAGCAAAGAAGATGGCCAAAGGATATGAAAGCGTAAGTCAGAAACTATTTTCATGATGAGCCGTTGCTATTTCAGGTACCTTTATTTGAAAACATCAGTGAAAAAACAGTACCCTGAGTCCCAAAGAAGGTCAGAGCCACACCTTGTGTGAAGGCACAGTTTTAAATGAGTAGACAGTACAATCAAAACAGCTCAGCTTGTTTTGCTTTTGATCTAAGTGGTCTACTTTGTCCCTTTGTGTGTAATACTATTTCCTCCCTTTTTTTCTCTCTTGTTAGTAGTTTGTAATTGTCTTTCATTCCTCGTGCCTCTGTACTTACTCTTCTGTGTTGCCTTGCTATCTCATTCAGCCTACAAAGACACAGCCTTGTTTAAGCTGTGTCGTGAACAGAGCAGTAGCCAAAAATGTAGAGTGTATTTTTGCTTTTCGTGTTTGTTTTCCTTTTATGGGTGGCAAATGCATGTTCTAGGCTCCTAAGTTGCTAATACAATTTTGTAAGAAGTTTTTCCTTGCCATTTTAGTTGGGAAATGCTTTCTGAACTAAAACTGCATTTGTGATATACTTGTCATCCAACTTGTAGGAGTTGAGTAGGAGGTAGGAACGGAGGTGTCAGGAGTGTGTGAGTATCTGTCATACCCAGTGGCGAGTAGGAGACTTCTCCCTCCAGTCCTCTATTGTGCATTTTTGGCTGATCTTTTTCCTAGCAAAGTATTTACTGGCAGCAGCAGAAATCCCAGATCTGTAAGCAAGAAGGAGAAAAGACATTTTTGAGGCTTGAATTTGTTTATCTTTCTTTCTACAGAAACAACAGGAGAAGGAAGCTCTTCTTGTCTTCTACAACAGAACGGCAGAAGCTAAAATCCGCTCAGTCGTGTAAGCTCTGTGTCATTGCTTCATTCATGCCTAGGAAAACATGTTTTTCTGCCGAGAACAGGGAAACAGTGCCTTAGAGATAACAGTGCAGGGACATGAAGCATAGCCTCAAGTCACTCTAGAAAAAAATTGATTTTAATTACAATGCACTAAACATTTTCTTTTCTCAGAGTTCCTGGGCTGAGTAAGTCTTCTGATTTCATTCCAGATATGGAATTTGAACCATCTATAATTACTTGGTATTTGGGACTTGGATCAAGTTCCATGGTCTGGACCCTATTTCAATTAAGGAGTAGGGGAGTAATGAAACAAAAAGTATCAACAGAATTCAAGAAAACAAATGCTGCAGTTCTGCTGCAACAGGAACCCTGAACCAAAAAGCTTGTGAGATGGGCTTTAGTTGTAGTGTGCTCAAAGAATCTCACAGCCCCTTCTGAAGTTCTTGGTTCTTCCACAGGGCTCACATGGGACCTCAGTAGCAAAGGTTTTGTACCACAGGTGTGCTTTTAACTCTCTCCTCCCTAGGAATAATTTCCTTCTGTGAGTTTCTGTGCCCTTTTATCCTTAGCCTTTCTGCTGGGACAGCAAAGGAGTTGCTTTAGGTCATACAGCATAACTTTCTAATAAGTAGTATGCTAATAACATGAAAATGGTTTACTTTCTGCAGCTTTCTGAATGTAAGGACCAGTTGATGTGCACTGTGTGATTTCACACTCTCAGACCTTGCTGCAAATTTTGCCTGCTTGGCACAGAACTGCACTTCAGAGTCCCAGTGCTCATTTCTGTAGAAGAGTTTCTTCCTTTTATGTTAGTGAACACTTAGAAGATTTCCTTTTGATTTTGATTGCAACCATGAAGTGCTGTTTACTTGATCCTCTGGTAGGAACTAGTCCATTTTTTTTCCTGGGGTTTAGTAGCATTTACAATATCACTCACTATAAGCTGCTAAGGTACAGTACCATCTAGCTAGTGGTACTGTCCTATGATCATCAGCACTTCCCATGTCTTACCCTTGATGGCAAGTCTTCCATTACTTCCATTGAAATGACTTACCATTTGTGAAATGGAATATGGGAACGAGATATAAAATAATTGTGATGTGTTGGTTGGCATCTGCTTCCTACACTGAATATTTCTTTGGTATTTGTTTTAAAATCCAGCAGTTCCACTTCTCTCTCAGATTTCTTTGTTAAATGATACTGTCATGCAATTGAGGTATGAACATCATGAGTCCTGGGAGCTGTCTGGAAAGCACTGATACATCTTCGTACAGTTCTGGAAATCTTGCTTAGTGTTCTCTGACAGCTGGTGCTGATCTAGGTTGTGTTGTATTTGGTAAAGAACTTGGTATTCCTGATCTTTGCAGAAACTTTGCTATTCCAAAGAAAAAGTATTTGTATCATCTGTAATAGGCTTATAGTAGTTCATGAGGCTCCAGTTGACCCGACTGTAACACAAGTTACTATGTAGAAATGGGTTCTGTAGCTCTGCTGTTAGTCCATGGTAAAAGTCAGATGCTTTCATTTAGTTAACACTCTTTAAGTGGAATTAAAAGGAGTCTTGTTGCCTTTCATTGGTCATTAGCCTGTGTGCATATGGATAACTCCTAGAAATAGCTGATGTATTTGGATTGTTCAGCTGGAGTAAATTGCCGATGTGAACCCTTGCAAGAAAAGTTACTTCTAGGATATTTTAATCCGTGTATTTAAGATCTCTTTTTCTAAAACAGAGACAATTCTAAGTAGACACAGGAAGTATAACTGTATACAGATTATTATAGTGTATTCTGATTGTGCAAAAGTGAAAAATACAGATGAGTGAGTGAGATGGTCATTAACTATAGATGACCATCAGCTGATTTGTCTGGGATGTCATGTTTCAAGTAGGATATAATAAATTGATTCTTGTTGATACCCAGGTATAAATGTAGACAGCTCTCCAGCTGTGGCAAAGAAAAAACTGAGTGAATTTTCTTGCAAGGTTTTTTTTGATCTATAGGAGACTTGACTTGCTACTTGCACTTTACTGCAGTTTTTTATACTAGCCTCTTTCCTAGCGTGTGTGTGTATAGATGAGCAGTACGTTCAAAATTTGTTGTGAGCAAAGTCTGTATTCTCTCAGCACATAATTTTCCTTTTTCGTGTAGAGAATACATCTTGGAGTTACTGGAAAGTGGGAATAATAAATTCCTGGTGTTTGCTCATCACAAGATAATGCTGGATGCAATAGCTGCAGAGCTGGAGAAGAAAGTAAGTGACTGACTGAGTTGTCTTAACTTTATCACTGTTCCAGCTTCAAAGCTGTTTAAGAGCTCCCCGGAGTTATGGCTGGTCAGATACTTTATGAAAGTTAGTGACACAGATAGTTTCTGCTTGCTGTGCTTCTGAATGTGCCCTTCACCAGAGGAGCTGAGCTGTCAGGGTGAATGCCTCACAGGATGCACTTTGTATTAGCTGAATGGCTTTTCTTGTGTTTAATGTTCTTTAATCTCTGTCATCTGCCCTGGAGCTTGTGAATTCTTGGAGGACTGTCACCCTGTGTGGCCATCCCTGCTTTGCCCTCCAGACTTTCCTCAGAGGGAGAATGCAACAACCTAAGCCTACTGTGGCTGCCTGCCTGTACCTCCGTGGTGCTCCTTACGTTTTTGAACTGGAATACTGTTGGGAGATTTGACAGACCTGCCAGTCATCTCTCTGACTTCAAAACTGTTTGATTAATTTTTCATGTGAGACTTCCATGGCTGCTCCTAAACAGTTCTGGGTCATGCTGGGGCTGTGTGAAGAATGGTTTAAGTTAATATTACATACTATAAACCTCAGTGCCACTGGTGACTTTCGCTCTGTGGCAGCATCCTCCAGTAGACCAAGGAGGTTGGACACTGAAGAGTTATGGCCCTGCATCACACAGGTTTGACATGTCTCTCCCTAGCCTACCACAGAGGGACTGAGATGTGTTTGGGTCTCTTCCCATTGCAAACAGGGAAGCACTTAAGGAGGTTGGGGAGGTTGTACCAGCTGTAACATCAGCTTTGCATTAAGCCAGTTGCCTTTCTACTGTACATGAGTTGCCAGTTCATTGCTGTCCGTCCTGTTGCACAGGACTGGTGGGAGAGCAGTGGGCATAAGAGCAAGTCACACACTGTGGACAGAGGGGGGAGGTACGTTGTATCCTGAGCCGCAGTGCCTCTGCCCAAAAGATGAGGAAAGGTCTTAAAAATACAACTGTTGCCTCTTTACTTTTCTGGTTCTGCCATGGGGAAGGCAAACGGAATCCACTAAAACATGGAAGGGAGGGTGTGGGAAAGGTGGCACAAGGTTTCTAAACAGCATCTTGTGCGTTTTCACAGCACGTTGAGTACATTCGCATCGACGGCTCCACACCTTCAGCCGAGCGGCAGTCTCTGTGCCACAGCTTCCAGTTCTCAGAGAAGCAGGTTGTGGCTGTCCTGTCCCTCACTGCTGCAAACATGGGCCTGACATTGTCTGCTGCAGACCTGGTGGTGTTTGCAGAGCTCTTCTGGAATCCGGGGGTAAGTGTCCTGGAGGGAACAGGGGTTTGATGCTCCCTGGAGAACAGGAACATTGCTGCTTAGGAGGAGATGTAAAGGGCAGAGGACTTCCTCTAGGTTTTTCTTTCTCCTTGTCTGATGTCTACTGTCTCTGCAACCCCAGGTGCCTTGCCTTGAACCAGGGATACTGGTTACAGTTTGACTGGTAAGGGTGGCCTGAAAGGGAAACACATTCCTGTTTCTTAATTTGACAGAGCTCTTAACAGCTCACCCAGCCAAGGCCTGAAAGGATCCATCATCAGTGCTGACCCTCTGCATTTGAAAAATGCTCAGTGCCTTTTGGGAACCTGGTGGACCAGATTACTTCTTGGCTTAGTCACCACTTGAGGATACAGCTGTTAACAAGATCCATACAAGAAAGAGTTGCTAAGCACAAGAAATGAGATCTCCTTGTTCTCTGGTGCTTACGCTATTTCTATTTGCAGTTCTCACTTTTTATTTGTTAACTTTTATGTTAAGGTTTTGATCCAAGCGGAAGATCGAGCACATCGGATCGGACAGACCAGCTCTGTTAATGTTCACTACCTGGTGGCTAAAGGCACAGCAGATGACTACTTATGGTAAGAAGTGAGAAAGACACTTTGTTTCTCCTGCCAACTGTTTTCACTGTTTGTCACATATGTCACGTGAGGTACTAAATGTTAGTGCTGATTTCTACAGCCTGTGAGAGGAGGAGCAATAAGTGCCAGTCAGGGCTGCTGCAAACTGGTGACATGGCCTGGCTGCAGTGGACGTGACTAAGTGGCTGACAGGCAGGAAGAATAAAAGTAGTTACCTGACAAAGAAAGGGCTCTTAAAAGAAATTCTGGGAGAATTGATACATGGAAAACTTTCACAGCCTCTGTATAAGGAGAAGGAATTACCTTAGATAACAGCCCAGAAATTCCTAAGCTGTAGTAGTGTGAAGTGCTGAGTGCTTTCAAGCAAAGTCAGCAGACACTGGACATGGTTCAGTGTACTGTAGATCAGATCTGAAGAACAGTCTGGCTGCTGAGTGCTTGGACAGGGTGCTGTAGAGGATGACTGCACTCTTACTTTCCACTCACTCTTCAGTAAGCCCTTCAGATGGATTAAAAAAAGTGCTACTGACCCATCTCTGGATGGTTGTGATATGAGCCCTTTTGGCTACAGTGAGAGTTATCAGAGGACACTAGTCCTTATGGTCGGTCAATCTGGTATTTGAGGGCAGGGAGGATCTGAGGAATCTTCAGTGCTGCAAGGGAACTGACCTGCAAATGATGAGAAGAAATTATCCACCAGCTGGTTCTTTTAAGTCCAAAATTACATCTTTATTACCTTGCTTCAAGGAATGAGCGAACTAAGTGAACTTGTGCAGTTCCCAGAATATCTTGATGGTAAATAATTGTAACGCTACAATGCAGGGATCTGGAAACTGATGCATCGCCCACATTTCATGGAAAGTTAATGACAGTAATTCTGCCTTTATTTGTGAAATGCTGTCTGTGCAGTCATTAATGCCTAATGGGAAGGACATAGGGCTCTCAAAAGGACAGTGGCATCCTTTTTGAAGACAAGAAAAAGAACAGGATGACAAGGCTGTTTGGTAAATGCCTTAATTGTGCTGTGGCCTTTGCGTCTTTCAAAGTGTCCAGTCTGCAGGTGTGGTCAGGACCTCTCAGCCTCTTGGGCCAGTGATGGATTCTTCCTCCTCCTGTACATTGCGAGTTGTCCTTGAAATGCTGATGTGTCTGTTGTTGAGGATTACCATTGCTTGCCTTGCAGACTGAACACAAAGGCTATGGGGACTCCCTTTAGCTGCATCTTCTTGTTCTGACTTCATACCATTGGTGTTGCCTCAGTCAACTAGTTTTCCTATTGCATATGTGTGTTCTCCACATATTTATAGCCTGAAATCCTCTTCTTGTTACTTATTTAAATTGATTGATACTTGTTTAAATTGGATTGATTGATTGATTGATATCCCAAGACAGTATACAGTCATCATAAACAAGAGCAGGACATGCTAAGGAACTAATAGGCTTCGGTAGAAAAGCCATCTTTGTACCCTGTTACAGCTTTTTTTCATCTACACATAGTAAATGATAAGAGTGTCCTTGATACTTTTTTCCTTTCAGTAATATCTGTTTATCTCTCCTAGGCCAATAATTCAAGAGAAAATCAAAGTGCTGGGGGAAGCTGGTCTTTCAGAAACCAATTTCTCTGAAACAGCTGAGTCCACTAATTACTATCCTAAGGTAATTGACCTGAAAGAATATTGGTGGTCTCTGGGAGAAGCTGAATGGGCTTTGGCTTGTGTCCATCTAGATTGACAGGGTGACCTTTTACACCTGTTCTGCCTTTAATGCCATGGACCAGATTCTCCAGCTCCTTCCAGGATCCATGCCTTGACTTGGAGTCCCCACAAAGAGGTTCCAAACCTGCTCCTTACCAGGAGACATGTTAGCCTCTGTGGCATATATATGCCTTTGAGTATATATGTATGTATGATACATACACACACACACACATATATATATAATGGTATGGTCTGTGCACACGTGCACTTTCTCAGGGGGAGTGTCCTCTGATTGTTCTATGTTTTATATGAGTGTGTGTGCAGACTCTGTCTGTTTTTTTCTCAGCCAGATCCAAAGCAGAAGACCATCTATGACCTTTTCCAGAGGACCTTCTCTGAGAGCAGAGATGATACTGATGATACTTTGCTTTTGGAGGCAGCTGATGCTGGCTGTGAGTTTGACTCTGGCAGTGCCTTGCAAGATAGAGAAGCAGAGACATGTTCAGTGACTCCCAAAAAAAAGCGGCGTATTGAGGAGTTTTTTAAAGTGTGATGGTGGCAACAAAGGAGACAGCAGCTAAGAGATTTTCTTTTTTACAAAATAAAACCCAAAAGCAATCAAGTGTTATTTTTTGAACTTTCAAAAATAAAAGAGTTTAAAGTTTTCTCTATCTCTAGCATGTTTCATCTCAAAGGATGAGAAGGCAGTCTGACAGATGTGCAGTGCACACCTGGCAGCCTACATGTTTTGCAGTCCTGGTTTTGCTGATGACTGAATGACCATGGGCAAGTAGCTGCTTTGTTTCAGCATGTCAGCGTCCACAGTTGTTGTGTTTAAAAAGCAGATAATATCTTGTCAGACTTCACCTTGTCTGTCCACAGGGCAGAACTGTTGTGAAAACCAACTCCTCAGCAGCTGCAGAGTGGTTTTAACAATCTCCCAGAGTTCTAGTTTGCATTAATAGGAGTAAGTTCACTGGCAAATTTGGCTCTTATTGACTAACTCACAAAGTGGCTCTCTGGTATTCAGTTTGGCCATGAGGAAAAAGATCCAGACAGGTCTTGATGCTTTGTGGAGGTGGGGAAGAGGAGGGAAAAGAGCACTCAGTGTCTTGAAACTAAGTAGTATGACTGTGTGCCAGGAGGTGTGCATTGCTTGTTAGGCACATTTCTGCCTGAGCACACTCATCTCTGACCTCATGCTGAGTCAGGACCTGCTCCGTGGCATGTGCTTCTTGTGTCAATGGATGGTGAAGCTTGTGCTGCCAGGGATTAAGCCTGGCCTCTCAGGGATTGGGGGATGTGTGTGTGTTTTCTTCAAGACTGATTTCCACAGGTGAGTGAGGAGAGGGGAACATGTGCAGAGTTTTGCTCTTGTTCTGTAAGAATTGATTCTGGACTGAACTGTTTAAATAAAAAGTTCCTTTAAGTCATGGTTCCCAAGCTTGGTACTTTTTTCTGTTTTAGAATTACATCTCCCATTTGGACTTTAAGCTTGAGAAATATGGGATGCAGTGGAAGTACTAGCATTGTAAAAAAATAATATTTGCAATGGCTGAAAGATAAGTCTTTTTGTGCTTTCTAAAATGCATCAGCTTTCAAATGGGAAAATCCCATGATACTTTGCTTACAGGTGAATCAACAACTACTTCCATAAGATGTTTAGGCTGCTACCCTCGGACCTGTTGTTTGCTCTAATTACAGCTCTGTGCAGCTTACACAAAGAATGCCAAAAGCATCACTGTTGCTTGATGCAGTGATTAAAATGCCTGTTTTTGATTTGTGATAGTCTGTATCATGCTCTTGGCCCTGTGAACTGGGATACCTGACCTCCCAGCCTCAGTGCAGCCTGAGCAAACACACTCTTTGGTTCCCTTCAGGAGCTTGTGACACAGTTGCTGTCCCTTGGGCATGGCCTGATTCCACTTCACAGCAGTGATGCCTCTGCAAAAACTCTAGAGGCTACTTTTGATGTGGGCTTGATGTAGAGGCAAATAGCTCTGTTTATCACATCTGGTCTTTTCAGGCATCTCTGCATGGTTGTCTTTACTGTATTTTTTTTGTGTTTTACTGTCACTGCAGTGTAGCATGACCCCAAATTAATGTCTTTCATGCTTCCAGTCTTACTGCTAGAAGGTACTTGGAAACGGAATAGTGTTAAGCCAACGTGACCAGGGAGTACAGGAGAAGGTATAATTTCACAGAGGTACCAGTTAGCTATGTTTTACAGAGAAGGGTGGGGGAAAAGCAAACTGAAGGATTACATTTAGCTTCTGGAGGCCAGGACCTAACGTGCTGTGCAGGTGGCATGTTTGGCTCTGTGTAGATACCAGACACTGACCAAAAAAATCTCTTTTCCACAGTGGAGCAGAAAAATGTTTGTGCTGCAAGATCAACCTGGTAATAAGGGATATTTTTTCCTGTATTGAAGAGTTTGATTATTCCATTTTCAGCTAGTGTCGTCATGGAAATGCCCCACAGGCTGCGTATGCAATTGTGCTGGGTGGAGACTTGCTTTTCATTCATGGCTGCAGAAGGTGCTTTGGTCTGTGAGGAGGAGTGAGGGTTATGTGACTGGGCAACTGGAGGAAATGCTTTGTCTCTGGGTTTGAGACTGAGAGCTAAACATCATTGCTCTTGCTACAGCAGCTGGCCAGGAGATAAAGACACACTTTTTGACATTTTAAAATGCCTGTCTGCTTGAACACAGAGAGAGTATTTAATCTGCCTCTAGGACAAGTGATCTTTCTACTGGCAAAGTGGATTGCTCTGAGTAAGGAGTGAGAAATGTTGTTGTCTACTGGCTGGAAAAAAGATAGGTGGCATTATTTGTATACCCATATTGTTGTCTCCTACAGGAGTAGTTATCTTCCTCTTTGGAAAGCTACAGCTACTTCAAAACAGTATTTTTCTGAAATATGCTGAAACTACCCTTGGAGAATTCTGCTTCTTATGAACTCAGTTTATCTTGTCCATATATATGTTGATAAATCCCAACCCTGTTAGAGCAATCCTAGGTGTACTCTTCTTTTGTTAGGACCCATAAAACCTCAGCTGGTTTGCTGCAGAGATACAAAGGTTTTTCAAGTACACTTGAGATTTACTTTATGCTTACTAGATGAAAAAGGGGAGAAGAATCTTGCAGGAAAGTGCTTTTAGTGATTACTTCAAGGGATTGGAGAGACTGTGCAGGCCTTATCCCAATTAGGCCACTAATACTGTGAGGAGGTGGCTGGGCAGCTGGCAGCAGGCTCAGACAGGATCTCCAGGGCTTGCTGATGAGAACTTGTACAAAGTAGTGTGCAGGTTGCCAGTGAGACCCACAGGCAGGCTCAGGAACCTGCAGCACTCCTGGGGACTCTTGCACATGCCATTGCAGATGATACAGCTGTAACTTTTTGGCATTATCTAAAGTCCAGGAGAGGAAAAGGAAAGACTCATTGTGCTAGTTTGGACTGAAGTGGAGTTGATAATGCAGAGATGATGTTCTTATTGCTGAGCAGAGCTTACACAGAGCCAAGGCCTTTTCTGCTTCCTACACTGCCACGCTGGCAAGGAAGTTGGGGATGCATGGCAGATTGGGAGGAGACACAGTTGGGACAGGTGACCCCAACTGATCAAAGGGATATTCTATACCATGTGACATGGTATAGGAAGTGGAAGGAAGAAGGAGGGGGGGATATGTGGAGCAATGGTGTTTGTCTTCCAAAGGAACTGTTTTGTGTGATGGGGCCCTACTCTGCTAGAGATGGCTGAACCTGACCATGGGAAGCAGTGAATTAATTCCTTGTTCTGATTTCCTTGTGTGTGCAGTTTTTGCTTTCACTATTAAACTGTCTATCTCAACCCATGAGTCTTTCTAGCTTTTACCCTTCTGATTCCCTCCCTCATCCTGCTGGTGGGGGAGTGAGCAAGTGGCTGTGTGGTGTTTGGTGGCTGGCTGGGGTTAAACCACAACACTCATCTTAGTGAATCTTTCTGTGACTGCATGCCTGCTTGTACACCTGTGTCAGTGCTCCCACCCATGTCGGAGAAAGGTGTGTTTTCAGGAAGGATGCCAAACCAGGAACAATGGGTAAAAATATCTGAACAATAAGCTGGAACAGTTCAAAATAAGTCTGCATGCCCCAGACTGGCCAAGCTTCATGTGCTGAAGAGTTCAAGGCAGTGGACTGTCAAGGCAAAGCTGTACTGGCCTGTATCCATCATCTTCTCAGTCACTTGGAAATGTGTGTTTACTCTGGCAGTGCTGGGAATGGCTGTCATTGGAAGGGGCTGGGTTTGGTTGTTGGCAGAGCTCCTCTGTAACACCGGTAGGTGAAGGATACAACCATGTGCTGTACTGTCACAGCAAATTTGTAGCTTTATAGATACATACCAGAGAAAGCAGTAGATTTTCTGTCCTAGCAGTGTCAGCCAACACAATGTTTTCTTTTTTTAACCAAATCGTCACTAAGCAGCCAAAAGAACTTGTTTTTTATTTTCTTCTTTTTAATGTCTTCTAATATGTTGGTATCAAAACAGTATCCTGTGAGTCATCATTGTGATGAGGATCTGAAAAGGGCAAATATATTCCTAGGATATATCAAATGAGATTTTGGCTCAACAGAGGGAGATATAAATACCATTTCCTAAAGCCCTGCTGAGCCCTCATGTGGAGGCCCACCAGCTCCCAGGAGAAGAGCTTGCAGGGATGATTGTGGAATGGGGAACCTGGCATGACAGAGGGAATTAAAAATGTCAGTGTTCAAACCCTCAAAGTAAGAGCAAAGCACGGATGCAGTATCAGCTCATGAGCATCTCTGAAAGTACAGACTCCAGTCAGGGATAGGCTAACATAGTGGCAGGGTACACTGGAGTCATTAATAACTTATTAATTAGAAAGACTGCAAATGAAGAAAAAGGCTGTCATGGGCTGGGGTGGGTGTGGGTCTGTCATGGGAGAAAAAGCACCTGCAAGAACTACCTGGGGATGATTTCTGCAGGTGGGCTGGGAAGCTCCGGCTTTCTCCTGGCAGGAGGGCATGAACTGTTGCTGGCTCTGCACACTACAAAGCTCTTGGGCTAACTGGATTACATTTCTTAATGGAGGTTAATGGGTTGTTAATCCCATTATGAGCATTGCAGCTCAGTGGCATTTCATGTTTTGCTCACCCACGCTACATCTCAGCCCCACATTTTGGTGTTGGTGCTGAAGATGGTTCAGGTGCTGCAAACATCTGGGGGCACTGTGTACTGGGAGTCACCTCTGGAGCGGCACACGGAGGCTTTCACGGCTGCTTGTCTCAGCATTGCATGACCCAAGGGAATTGGGAAGATGCCTTGGCTGCATCTGGTCGGGTGATCTTGAAGAAACATCTTGGTTTACGGTTGGTGTGTTTTAAGATGTGAATTTATCCTCACTGATATATACATGCATATATATATATAAATTGTAATTCTTTCTGCAGTTCCAGTCAGTTTTTCTGTTCCTGTTTTAATTCTCACATCTACCTGCTATTTACTTTCTTTAAAAACGAGGTGACTTTAACTGCCCCACCTCCTTTCCTGGTG